ATAGTTCTATTTGTATATTGTCTGTACTAAACATTTATAAATAAACTTCTAACTGGTTGACCATTGTGGCTGCCAAAAGTTAAAAAAAAAAAAAAAAAAAAAATATAGTAGCATAATTTGTGCCAATTGCCTGTCACTGTTTAATATCAATATAAATATTTTTAACCCTATTCAATAATGATAATATTGTAAAGCCAATAATAGTAATATTGTAAAGCAGCTTTTGATAACTATACTACTTTTTTATTTGTATAATTTATATTATTAATTTAAGTTTTTTTGTTATATTCTTTTATTTTTTGTAGTATGAAACTATTATTAAAATTTAAGGTATAAAAAAAAAAAATATAAAAACAGTAATAATATAAACTACATAAATATAAAAAATTTTAATATAGTTATCAATAACATAGCTTTATAATAATATTAAATGCATATTATTCAACTTTTGCTACTTAATTATCTAACAAATCAAAAATACCCATGCGTTTATTAGCAAAAAAAATATTTCTAAAATTCTAAAATAAGTGCTAATACAAAAATATATTTTAATATAACTAACAATATAAAAAAAAATTTCATAAAAATATTATCATAAACTTAATATCTTTAAAATATATATTAGATTATCAATATAATAACTAATAAAAATCTACTTTAATCAAATTCAAATACAGTTTATATCTAATATTAGATCATTATTTACTTATTATATATACAATACTGCATGTTCTACAAATTGATAAAACCAACCAAGCTTACATATAGCATTTACTATTGAAGATTTTTACAATTTTTTATTAGACTTAAAAAAAACAATTTCGCAAACTACTGTATATTTTTAACAACTAACATATAAAATATCTTTTTAATACAATAAATATGAATACACTTTTTGAGCAAACAATATAATTTTTATGTTATTCTTTTTAATTGATAACTTTTACCAACAACTTTGGTTCAACAAAATTTAATAACTTTATATTCATCGAATATAAAGCTCATTTATATTAAGAATTTATTAGTCATAAATTAGAATAAATCAAAAAATATTTTTTTGTTACATTAAATTATATGAAGTACTCTATCTTAAAAAATATATAATTATACCAGTTTGAGAAAAATTGTACCTAAAATTACTAATATCTGCCGCAATTTCGGATTTTTATAAAATGTATTACGCCTAACTAAAGATGGGACACTGCCTGTGTAAACTGTGCAGCTTGTCCAGTAGATTCAAAAAATACTCGATTTTCCTATCTCTACACATAACCCTAAATAATGTTTGATTTTATTAGTTTGATGACTACCTAATACAATACGTATGTCTCCTTCTAGGTGAAAGCTTTTACCTTTCATTTCACCAACTGTCCTATATCTACTATCTAAATTATCTATTTCACTTGATATGCAGAGTAAAAAATTACTACCAGTAATTCAAGAAAATCTATGACTAGCACAAACAACTCATACTAATTAATACGACATAACCCTAGCACACCTTCAAAGCATACAAACTCATACCAAAAAACTCTAAAAACACATTAATACATTATACGATCGTACTGGTACTGCACGGAGTCGACGTTGCGCAGCTACACCTTATTCATATTTCGGCTCAAAATAGAAGTAGCAATGATTACAACTTACCCACATTATAATGAAATTCTCAAGCTGGTAACAAAAATCTTCACTGTAACTTATATTAAGAGAATGCTAAATATACTTTACAACCGGTTGAAATTTAATAATTCCGTAATTCGAAACTCTTTATTATGTCAAGAGTTCACTAACAAGAATGATATTTATTTGGGCAGAATGGTTCTTTTTATTATTTAACTTGCGAGTATATTTTAAAATTCTATGCAAAATTACGCTAGGGCGTTACAATTTTTAGAGAACTAAAATTAATTTTGACGAATACAAACAATAATTTATCTTTTAAAAACCTTTGTAAAATTAATTCTTGACTCTCTGGAAACTGTGTCTCCAAATAACGAGTTGGACATTATTTTGCGAAATATTCAAAAAATAATAAAAAAAGCATGAAAAGTAAATTTTAAAAAATTTTCGAAATCAAATTTTCGGAGAATATAAGGTTGAAATATCACGTGACTATGCCTTCGATTGGTGGCAACGCTGGGACTGTTCTACTACTCTCTAGCTAATTTAAAATAATCATTAAATGTACAAAATAATGAACATGGGGTTTTTTGTTACAAAAGATAGAACTTTATTTCAGTAAATATATAAAATACATTTATTAAAATAACAATATATACGTAAAAATAAAAAGTAGTGAATATTATATTGGAGAGAGGAATTTTAAAATATGGCTTTATTGAAATAATCATAACTTAGAATGAAAATGGATTGCCTCCTATTTGTATGTTAATTTCTACATTCCTTCCACTATCAGCTGTAACACTAGCATAAATCCAAGAATTAAAGAAACCGTTATAAGTAGTACCATTTGTTAAATTCAATATTTCTTTACCCACTTTTTTATTCGTAAGATCATCTAAAGAATCATTTTTTGCACATTCGTATACTAATAATCTAGATTGATCATCGTTATTAATGGATATGCAGAAGGCGCTTGCAGACCATGAAGTGGTATATAGATCTTTGGCGCTCCAGAATTTCATTGGAGCACTTAAACGACGAAATGTTTCAGATTTGCAAATATATGTTGCAGAAGTATTCTTTATGATAGTTGGTTGAATAATACTTAAATCAGGGCTTCTGTATTCACACAAATATAAATCCCCTTGCGAAATATTGTTAATAACTAATTTGACATAATGAAAGTCATTAGTCTTAATAATTGGTGCCTGAGGGTCTTTAGTTTGTAATTGGTCTCTTTTCTTAATTAATTCGTTTAGAACATTACTATTGTAATATGAATAAAGGTTACTTGTTCCTTGCCAATAATCAATTGCCGTATATTGTTGTTCTTTTCTTAGCCAAACAGCTAATGAAAGAAGTTGGAAACCGTCATATGATGGTCCTAGGTTTCTGTCTCCAATATTTCTTACTAATTGTTTGTATTCCACTGGTAACTTTCCAAAATTTTCTTCTAGATATTTATCTCTCTTGTTAACATCATGCCAAAAAGCTACGTAATCATTGTTGTCGGGTTCTTGTATTTGAGCTTGTAATTGGTCTCTTTTCTTGATTAATTCGTTTAGAGCGTTACTTTTGTAATATATAGAAAGGTTACTTGTTCCTTGCCAATAATCAATTGCCGTATATTGTTGTTCTTTTCTTAGCCAGACAGCTATTGAAAGAAGTTGGAAACCGTTATATGATGGTCCTAAGCCCCTGTCTCCAATAGATTTTACTAATTGCTGGTATTCTTCTGGTAACTTTCCGAAATTTTCTTCAAGATATTTATTGCTTTTGTTAGCATCATGCAAAAAAGCTACGTAATCATTGTTGTCGGGTTCTTGTATCTGTCTATTCATAATTTCGAGTTTTTTATTTCAATTCAGTGTGTTATCTTCTTCTTCACGATTTACAAAGGGTATTTATATATATATTTCTGATATGAAACTTTTTTTTTTTTACTCTGGTCAGAAGGAATATTATCTTTGTTAAGTCGATAAAAGGTTAGATTGCTGACGCCAATCGTCATACATACGCATGGTGCAGGAAATCTAAAAACTTCAATCACTTTATATAAAACTAGTTTTGTATAATTTGAATCAATTGCTTTAAAGAGTGCATTTGATCTTTTTTACAATGAATAATTTTAGAGTTGTAAAAAATCGTATGATTTATGAAATAGGACTCTTTAATAATGGCTAGTTTTGTATATTTAGAATCGATTGCTTTAAAGAGTGTATTTTATCTTCTTTTTCTTTAACTATTTATAATTTCCTTCTAAACCCTTAAAAAGGATATTTTACTCCCACCATTTTTATACGTATGTGCATGTACATATACATGTACATGAAAAGAATAAAAAAAACTCCAAAAAAATCCGAATCACTTAACAACTTAAATCCTAATAAAAAAGTATCATTGTAGTACTTATCTGTGCACCCTGTCTAAAGTTTTATTTCCATTTTTTGAGTTTTTTTAATTTACTTTTTTTTTCCGATTTTTTGCCGGTATGATGGATTGATAATCACTGATCGTCAAAGGACATGACAAAGAAGAATCATGAATTCTGCCCTCAGTTCCTAACTGGTCATTTAATGCATCGTCACATTCTTAATGTGCAATATATTTATTTATCGATAGCAATTGGGTGAAATTAGAATACTTACTGTATGTTACCGAACAGAAGAATAGAAGCAACCAAAAGTTGTAAAAAGAAAAAGAGCCAAAGTAAAGGGGTTGCTTTGGTTCGAGTACAATTTTATTAGTAGAAAATAATCTAAAATCTGGGGGGTTGCTTTCAATCGGTAATATACGGTACGTAAGTACATACATAATTATTGATGTGTAACATCCAAAGTCAATTTATTTGGATTACAGTACGATCGTTTTATTACGTGACAAATAAAATGCTTTAAATTTAGTGCAAGCTAGCTTTGGCCCGGTGCCAAAGCTGGTGCATTAAATTCAACACGAACATCTAATGATAATAAAGATTAAGAAAAGTTTCTTTTTTTAAATAATAATTCAATACGAATATCTAATGACAGAAAAGCTTACGCAATTTTTTTTTAAATAAAAATAAGGCGAAGCCGCCTACATGATTATGTCTCTAGTTACAAATAATAATTTTAGGGTTGTAGAAAATTGTATGATTTATGAAATGGAAATTAATACATATAAAACCCAAATAGGCCTTTTCAATAATGGCTACTAGTTTGTATATTTAGTATCAATGGCTTTGAATAGTACATTTGATCTTTTTTATAATGATAATCATATTATTTATAAATAGAAAATTAATATTAAGCCCAAATAGGCCTCTTTAATAATGATTACTAGTTTAGTATGTTTAGAATCAATTGCTTTAAAGAGTGCATTTGATCTTCTTTACATTACAATGAATAATTTTGAGTTGTAGAAAATCGTATGATTTATGAATAGGAAAGGGGTGCATCAGTTTGTGTAACATCATGTACAGTATGCTGCATCAAGTTTTTTGACAAATTAAATCGACGCTGATGTTAAACGAAAATGATGAATGCAAACAATTCCTCAATAGCGACAGGGGGTTGTCAGCTTTACTTATTTGTGCCGGTAATACAAACTCCTAAAAAGGAAATAGCCAATCAATGAATTCAAATTTTGATCGTTCGGATCAGCCCGACATGAATTCCGAATGCGTGTAAAAGAAGAAAAAGCGAAAAAAACTTAAAAACTAGTGTTTAAACCAGCCTCGGTGTACTAATTAAAAATGTCGGAAACGAAATTTTACATATAATGAACGATAGTCTATCACTATAGCCTCTAATGTTAACGGTCCAACCCTAAATACGTGTTTTACACACTTTGTTTATTTATAAAATCAAATTTCCTTTTTTGGATTGTATTACCGGCACAAATAAGTAAATCCGGGGGTTGTCTACCCCAAGAACACCAAAAATTTTTCGGTACCAAATTTCATAAAGTCTGTAAATAAGGATCCGGTTCATTTCACCGAAAATTAATTCACCTTCAATTCACCGAAAAGTTCAGTTCACCGATAAGTTGTTTTTATAAATTATACCAACCTTAACTCTAATTCTAACCTGACCCTAATAACGATGATCAAACTTACTTTGTCGGTAAATGACTGCTGGTATATCGTACTGTCAGTGAACTGAACTTGTCGGTGAATTGAACGGAACCGTGTAAATATTGGGTTAGCGTTTATATTAAGGTTTGTTGTTTACAAGATACATAGTGTCGTTCGGTAAATCGGCAAGTATGTCGCTATTCTATTCCAACTCTCGCGTAACCTGCGGCGGCTAAGTCGAAGCAGGCGTGTTAGATTTGGCTGGTGAGTTCGTCCGTAGGCAACCCCTTTGAGTCTTTCCTTGTCTTTCCTTGTCTTTCCTTTAACCTATTCTTATACTAACTCTTTACTTCCTTTATGCCTCAACCCGGAATTACAATACGTCGATTCGGGGTTGGAATTCTTCTCTAACGTTAACGACCTTCTTTATCACGTGACTTATGGCGAATGATCAATGGCGGGTTTAGTGGTTTTTAGGCGAACAATTATGTTAGTGATGGGATTAACGACAGTTTATTAGTTTGGGTACTTAGTTTTATTATGCAAGTGTATTTACTTGGGGTGTTGCTTCTTATTCTTTTAGAAGCCTTTATTTATAATAATACATTCGCAATTAATTTCTGTTATAAATATAATATCTTCCTTATACTCTATATCCTAACTAAATCTAATAAAAGGTCGATATTACACATTTAATGTATATGTAGCCGAGGTAGCGGAAGTAACGGAAATAACAAAAGTAACATTTCTGTTACTTTTTGAATTGGGTAGGGATCGTCGCTTCGATTCAGGAACTCGCGACCCACAAAATCGGGCTCACAATAGTAAAATTTTCAAGGAAAACTTTTTGTTAGAGCACTAAAAATGCGTTTTATGCAAAAAAACGGTTGTTTTTGATTTTCCTGATCGCACTGTGCCAGGTTTTGTCGATCGCTGTGACGTAGTAAAAATTCGTAAAATTTATTAACGTCAGCAAATCGCGGTTTTTCAAAAAATCCCGCGGAATTCATTAAATCTAGGTGCCGCACGGTTGAACCTCAATTTTGATTCCCCAACGGCTGTAATCGACAAAATTTTGGTCCGCATTATACATAATTTTTGCCGGAGTTTGATTTTTTAATTGGGTCTGTATAATGATAAAATTAACCCAGGAACATATTTCACTTAGGGTTGAAAATTACATTTTACAAATTTACCATACATGTAATTTCACATAAGTTTTAGTAACATGGATTTCATGTAATTTCACGGGATATATAGTACCTAGAGATGGGCAAATCGCGGTTTCTCCAAAAATCCCGCGTGGGATTCATTAAATCACAAAATTTTAAACCCTAATTTCACTTAATGGGCGGTCATGATTTCTTTACTAACAATTCGAGTAATTTTGGCTAAATCTTTGGTCGTTGCCGTTGGCCAATCAAAATAGTAAATTTTCACGTATTTTTTTTGCAAGGTTTAATATCAGTAATTACATTAAGCACGTCCTTGGTTAAAGTTTCATTTGATCCAACTTTTGTAAGATGATTCCAAATATTATTATTACTATGCATGATATATTTATTTTTAAAAGAGTGACTTAATCATAAAGAATATTTTTGTAATGTAAGCGAAAGATACCAACGGCAAAGAAGGTAAATTCTTATCATATATATAAATAAACATGTGTGAAATGGTATGCAAATAAATAAAATAAATTTTAATTAGGAATTAGCTAAATATGTTAATGAAGATCAGATATTATATTAATGCAGCCAGATGCTATGGTAATGTCGGCCAGATAATCTTATTTCGTGGGATCCAAAAAAATCCCGCGCGTGCACATCTCTAGCTAAGCCGCTCTGACCGGTCATTATCAGGTACTATTACGGTTAATGACCGCGGCTAAACGGTTATGACCGTAACCTGACCCATCCTTACCCAGGGTATCAAACCCAGTTCCAGAATTTCGTACCTGAAGGGGTCCAAACCCGGACCTGGGTTCCAAACCCTGGACCTGGGTTTCATGCCCGTGCACGGGTGAGAATAAATATACTCTTAATATAAATACTGTATAAAGATATTTATTTTAAATATGAATGGTTGATTTTGAGGTAATATCTCCTAGTAACAATTTAAAAATATTCTTAAATATAATAATTAAAAATTTTTTTTTAAACCATCCTATAATAATGTATTAATTTTATTGAATATACATTTTTCAACTACGTAAAAAGTTGCTAGAAGCATAATTTAAAAAGTGATATTTTTTTTAATAAATAAGGTATAAACTATCTGTAATTGTTCGGTTCACTTTATATATAATGACGCTGTAACCAAAAGACTAATAATCAATTTCCTTTTTGAGCTCACGAGAGAAATGATACTTCAAAAAAAATTTATAGGCGTTATAAAAATCGAATGAGCCAATAACCTTAATATTGACATACATCATTCAATTAACTTAATAATCCACTTAAAAAGAAAAATAATTATAAAATTATCTTAATATAAGCAAAAAAACATCTCATTTAGTTATAAATTAAGTTACCTTATTATTGTCTTTGTTATCATCTTCATTGCAGCCAACTTCGACTTCCATCTTCTAACAATACGGAATGACTATAAAGGTCTTTGTTGAAAATTTGGTTAGAAAGACTAATGACATCATTATTCATTAAATCATTGTTTTTGTATGATTCATATGACTCATTGAGACTATGATATCTAACAATCCAATTATCATAATTAGATCCGGCTCCTCCATTTAACGTCACTAAAGTAGTAATAAATTAAATTTCTCATTATAAAATTCACAAAGTATAAAAAATCTAAAGGTATACATACCTTGTTGGTATTTTGATATAGGTGTGCGGCCATTGCCAATTTCATGAGAATGTACCCATAGTCCAGTCGCTTGATGTTTGAACCTAATACTTGTATTTAAATGCATGGGGCTTCCATTATTTATATATACTCCAAAATTGTGAAAGCGTCATTTTTAAGATCCACATCTCGATTATTACAAATTAGCTTAAAAAAAATAATAAAATTTAAAGTTTACAACACAGTTCTTATAATATTTACTATGTTAAAAATTTTTGTAAATACCATAATTTGTTGATGTCCTGGGTATTTAACATATTTCGTAGACAAATGTTTACCAGTAGTTAAATGAACAAGGACGACTTTTGATCCATAATTAATATTTCTTGTCTATATAATTCATTATAAAAAATAAAATAAAACACTCTTAAGTAATTGTAGAAGTCCATAAGAGGAATTCTAAAACATCTTACTAATTTATCTTTCTTAATTTCCTCAGGAGATAAACACCAATTATAATAACGAAAATTGCTATTAAAAAATTTACAGTAACTCATATCTAATGTGTTTTATTATATTAACTTGATTAACAATAATAATAAATAGTATGTACCTCATTTTCCCCTTGAGATCTGCTTGTCCCGGAGTATGCCCAATTCTCAATAAGTCTTTATTAAATGCGATATTATGTGTTGACGCTGGTTCAATATTCGTAAATCCAGCCAATTTGCCATCTATATAGAATTTCAAACACTTATCAATTTCCGAAAGTGTATAGCCTATATGGTACCACTGGTTTAGAATAAGTCCATTGCCAATTGAATAGATTCCATACATTGGACTATTATTTGTTGATAACTGAATATGTGGTTGTGCAAGGTTTGTTAGCCAAAAAGAGGGTGTACGTATTTTTGTATCTGCTCCTGAAAATATATTATGTGTATACATTTTTTTAGGGGGTTAAACAATGCTTATTTATACATTGCAGGCTAAATTATTTTCAGAATCTGAAACGTTTTCTCTTGAGGAAATTAAGCTTCTTCAGGGCAAACGTTTCACCTGAACAAAATAAATTTATAAAGTTTTGGTTTAGCCCGCGAAACTATGGTATACATACCTTGATGAAAAATCAAAGTCCAATTTGGATCACGTTGGTGAATATTCAATCTCAATGTCATAGACAACTCATTTACCACAGGAGGCAGTTTATAATATTCTATAGTTTGTTTTTTGTCAGGAAAATCTAGTGGATCCGAAAAAATCTCGAAACGTTCTGAGAGCATTTTAGTCTATATCTCCTTTTTTTATATATTTTACTTCAGTTAAAGAAAGTTAGTACTTACTACCAGCAAATTGAAAAGCGCATGATTCGATATGTTCAAAGTGAGTCAAAAAGTCATCATATGTCATGAAGAAAGAGCTGTCATCATCAAGTAAATATTTTAGTTTTGTTGCTAAACCTAGCTACCAGATTGGATCCTTATCACACCATGAAACTAGAAAAACAGAAACCAATTAAATAGCTAAATGTGTGAGCTTCTAGGCATTTAATATCAAATTTCTTACGTTTCCATACAGTATTAGCCCATGGATTACGAACTTCGACCAATTGAACATTAAGTGATTCATATGGATGGAATTTAACAGCACGACTAACGCTGTAGGCATGACTAAATACTAAACCATCAATGCCTATAACTTCATCATTTTGGAATGGGTTTGCACGAGTTCCGCAGCCAAACGCAATTTGATTATTATTTCTACCTAAAAGACTTTGCCAAAGAGCATCATTTTTAATTTGATTGCTTAATATATCGGAGCACTTATAGACTACCCTTGTTTGGCCACCAATATCCTCAAATGCTAATAAAATAAATAAATAAGTCGTTCCCTACAAATTGAAAAACCCATATAATTCGATACCTTCTCCCAATTCTCCCCATCAAGATTTCCATAGCCACCGTGAATCTTGGCATAAGCCTCTGCAAAAACATTATGTAGGGTGTATTTAATTAAATAATCAAACTGGATTAACGTTATTATCATAATTAGATGTAAGGGTTATTGTACTTTCTAGAAGTGAAGCCCAGGTCTCACGTCGACAAGCATATTCGCTATAGTATATTGTAATATTTAGTATCAATACAGAAACGTGAGCATAAAAAATTTAGACCTACCTATAATAATAATGACCATCTTGTTTGACAATCACATGATCATCCACTATGGTACCAACGCAGTCTTTTTTTTTTGGCGAATACGAACCCATAGATCTATGTAGCAATTTGACATAGTTTAAATATTTGATTTTCTAGAAATGATAACCTACTACTATTTCTTACCCCATTTGTTTCATCACGTGCAACAGCGATTGATTTGATAACACGAGGAAAGTCTTCAATTGCAGCAAGAGCTACAAGGAACCAACAATCACCAAGGCCACCTTTTCTAAGTTTACCGGTGTAATCGTAAAACGGCGAGTCAGTCGCTAATCGGTCGGATCTCTCGTGTAACCTTACGGGTCGGTAAATTGGGTCGAAAGAGGCGCGTTAGATTTGTCGAGTGGTTAATAAGATTTTGGATGAGGTTTACGTAATCGTAGGGGGGTTCAGAGTTGGTTATTCAAGATATGCGAACACACTTTTTGTACCTCACGGGTTAGAGACAGATTATATATTATAACAATGGCAATTACTGTTTAATAAAGATACTCGGTTTACAAGCAACTTTACTATGAGTGTTTAAGCAATGTCTTATGTATTATGTATTCGCTCAGGGGAAGTTATCCTTCCGAAGGGCCTTTCGGCCTTTATTTATAATTATCTATTTCTATTTACATTCCGCGATGCATACGACTGAAAAGCCCATTCTGACCGATCGCTGCTATCCGTCATATCCGTCATATGCGACCGATACGACTGATGCGACCTATCGGTCGCATACGACGGATGCGACAAATGCGACAGATGCGATCGATCTTTTCCTAATTGGGATATGGCCCTAAGCGGTCAGGGTCCATCCGGGCCCATCCGGGTCCCACAACGTGTAATGAGCTGTCGGTAAAATTTGAAATGAACTGAACTTGTCAGAATGGATCATCCATAAAGTAAACTTGTCAGTGAATTAATTATCTATAAAATAAGGTGTCTATGAAGTGATACGGATTCACAAAATGAAGTGTATGGATGTAAAACAGTTCTTATCACGTTACGCTTGCTCATTGCCAGATTTTATGCTTCTGTGTAACGAAGCTTCTAATTTTTAATCTTTTTTGCATGATCTATTGTTACTCTCGGAGCAGCTCAGTAGTGAGCCCAACCCAAGTTGGAAGGGGTTGAAAATATGAAAAATATGTTGGAGTGACACTGGAGTAAACTGGAGCAGCTATAAGCAAATCTGGAGTGGCTCTAGAGTGAACCCAACCCAAGTTGGAATGGGATAAGAAATATCTCAAACCAAAACACTCCAACCCAACCCATTAACAACCCTATATATTGTAATATGAGTACTGCCAAAAAATTATACATTTTACTACAGTAATTCTAAATCTAACTCCCTTAATGCTGGCCAGTGATACACACTAGGAAGATAGAAACTATATCTTTATTGTTACACGCGTGGTTTATGATTACCTGAACCCTAATGCCCATGACTTTATAACTGCTACTTTTTCACGTCTTTTCTTCTCGGCGGATAAAATAACTTTTCTTCTTTTTAGAATGTTTGTCTTTATAGATGATTTTACAATAAAATTTTTTATAAAAGTTTCATAATGCAATCTAAAAAAGAAAAACCGACAAAAAAGATTTCAAGCCCACCGTGAAATATCAACCGTAAAAAAAATCAGCAAAAAAAAAGAAATGGGTGAACAATTAGGAGCTGTGTAATGTAATAAAATTGGATAAAAGCCACGAATTGGATGTTTAATAGTCCCCGAAATTCACGTGACCGATAAAATTTTGCTAATCATTAAAAGACGAAGTTGCGATAAATTTAAAAAATAAATATTATATATACAAAATGACTACTTTCAAAAAATATGATTCTATTTCATGATCCGTAAAACTTTAATATACATTACGCCAAGATATGACATGTGCAATAAAATTCTTCCCTTGAACATAGCTTTTAAGTAGTGCCAATTTTCCTATTATAAAAGTAATTACTATTGTTAAAACTATTATGAAGTAATTATTAAAATAAAAAAAAAAAGCATTCAATTATAAACAAAAAGACCTATTTTCAAAATGATATTTAAATTGTAAGTACCTAATATTAAGCGTAGATTTCATATTAACAATATAGTCATAATAAGCGGTATATAGGGCAGGTATGAGTTTTGGAAATGGAGCGTTTTGGTGTACGTGTACACTCCTTATTAACATCAATAAAAAAAAAATATTAAATTAAACCTATGAATTATTTAACAAAGTATTTTTTTACTTATAAATCATACCTTATAAAGAAATCCCAAACAGCTAAATCCGGTATAGTAGTATATGCGTAAACTTCCGATTCATTCATATTATAAAATGCAAATCCAAACAAGCTTGATCCCTTAACATAAGAAATAGTTATGAACCTTGATTCATTCTTACACCTTCTATTGACATAACCATTTAGGATAAAAGTCCAAATGAATTGGTATTCACAAGATGTTAAGTCATTATAGGTGGATTCATTTGAAGTAACAAATTTAATGGTGATTGGTGGAGCCCAGGCAACATAAATCAAACTCGTATAAGATGCAGTAGCAGTTATCACTCTATGCATTGTACCATTTGGTAGGTATCTATCTTCCTGAACTTCATAAAAGCCGGGTGTCAGAATTCTTAATGAACGTGAAATTAGAAGCCCAAGCTCAACATGTTCAGTTGCATTTAAATTTGTAGTGGAGTTATCATGAACATCGTAAACATCGCGAGTAGCAAAGTTAGATTCGTGTTCAGGAAAACTTGAAATAACATAATCGTACCGATCATTAATCGCATATAAATATCTTAGACTCAATTGATATTGGAAAGGAATCTTTGAGGTATCATATTCCGTAACATGATCTGACTCGGTAAAATAATACATGACTCCGAAAATAATGACTAAGAATATCCCAATGAATGCACTTATGATGCCGCACACCATCTTGGTATTGTCTTCAAATGATAACTCGTCTGACATATACATGCTTGTATCACCTGTATCCAGACTGGAATTTAGCTCTTCTCTGGGATCTCGCGCATCTCCTCTAGAACTAGGTCGTGCAGTCGCATCTGAATCATCTATAATTACTCTGGTATCTTGCGTATCTTGCGTTTCTTCTCCGGAACTAGGTTGTGTACCATTTTGCATTTTGTAAACTCATTAATGTAGACGTAAAATTACACGAAAAGTTTATTTTTCGAAAAAGTTTGAAAAATAAGTGTGGCTTAATCTGGTTCGTACGTACGTACGTACGTATGAACGTATTTGAGAATGTGTGGCTCATTACTTGGGCTGTGAATGTTTTTCCTAAACATTTTTCAAAACATCGCTATTATTAGCAGTAATATTCAGCATGATAAAATAGTAGCTGTAGGTTATTTAGTTTAGTAATATTACTATCGCTATGATTATTGACGTTAATAATCTTAAAATATTATATATAATATGTATAAGAAAAATTATCACTTTACAGTAAATTTAGCATGTAGTACGTGCTAAATTGAAGGCATGTTAAGTATAATGCTATGCTTGTAGTTGACAACTGTTTGAAATTGTAATTTCAAACAGATGCTAACTTCAAGCACGAAATAATCATAACAGCGAAATGTTGAAAGTTCATATGATAATGCAATAATTACCACTTGTATTAAGTTCAGTTTAAAACTCCATATTGCCTTAAGAATTCGTTTTATCTTGGTCTACACAACGTATAACAAATTCATTTCGCTCGGCAATAATTGTACGCTAGAATTTTACAGTATTAGACAAATTTACTTGAAATTCGACTTGTAACATCAATAGACGGATTAAAAGAATTAATAATAATTTTAATCCCGCGAAGAATGAATTAGAATTGTTATCGAACTGACATTTACAAATAAATCACTGTGGTTATGTCCAAGTTTTTCTACACTACTCAAGATATTTATATATAGGACTCAGGATATTTATATATAGGAAGAGTAGAATTTTATAATCATATATCATTGATAACAATACTAGTCTTTGCTAAGCATGCATATGACACCATCAAACAACACTCGAAGGAATATCCCTGAGCTCTATTAATATATATCGATCACAAGATCACTATTCTTACATCTGTAAACTTTTCTACCACCTATTTTTACAATTCCTTCAGTCGGTGAGTGAAATGTAGAAGGTGTTCTCATCTCAGAATTTAACGCCACGAATTTTGTACAAGCTTCTTTGGTCTTTTTTTTTTGGCTTTTCTGACTTTTCTTATACCCATGAAAGGATCAGCTTGTTTGTTTTACGATAATACATGAGCTTCAATCCTATAATATATATCAAAATAGTTGGATCCTGTTCATTTCACCGGCAATCAATCCACCGACAAGTTTTTTTATATTAACCTTAACTCTAATTCTAGACCTAACCCTAACGACAATGACTAGAAATACTTTTTCAATGAAATAAACTTGTCGATGAATTGATTGTACTGTCAGTAAAATGATCGGAACCGATATGTAATAGTCAAATATTGTATCGGTAAGAATTGGAACCGTTTAACTACTTAAAACTTATCGGGCTGAATTAATTATGTTGGTCATGGATCAGAATTATTTACAACTGTTCTCATAAATGTTGAGACATCTGGCGAAAAATTGACCGATTATTATTTGGTTATTCGATAAGTTTTTTACAGCTGTTTTCATTATTTTTGGAACATCTGGTAAAAAAATTGATCGAATGGTTGTTTGGTCGATTCGATAAGTTTTTGATTTCGGTAATGATCGATTATGTAATGATGTATATATCTCTGCTAAATGACAGGGAGAACTTGTAAGTATCGGATTTTACAATAAGTGTCAAGAGAAAAGCCATCATCGAGTTTTCAATTATATTTGTGTCTGTCGCAACAGTATAGTTGGTTAAAGATTGTAGCCAATACAAAATAGAATTGAAAATCTGATGACAGGTTTTTCTTTGACAGGACTAATTTATATTAAATGTGATACTTAAAGGTTTTTCCTGTACAACACTCATATTTCATATTTAACACATTTAACTACCATCATTTCAGACAAGACGGGCGTCTTTATAATATTTATAATAGATGAATAAGCTAAAGGACCTTTAGTCGTCAAAATTGTTGTTTCAATACTCTCATCTAGTTTTCTTTTTAACTTATATTTTGTATCATTATAAATAAAATATTACTCTGATTTCGTTGATACTAATTCTTAGTACGGTTTTGACAAAGATTAATAAAATCTTGTTTGTTCAGAATAATAACTTGCTTTATATATTTTTTTAAGTTAGTAATCAATTCTTGTTCATATTGTCCTTTTTTTCATTAGCGCCTGCTCATGTAATGTATTTATTGTGGAAGCTTGTCTTATATTCGAAACCTTTTTTTATTTTTTTGGCAAGAACAACATGCCAAACACAATTGGAAAAAAATATTATTATACAGTATTTAAGTATACATTATTGGGCAAAAATTTTTGCAAATAACACGTGTCTCTTCGCGACACGTGTCAGTCAATCATTTTCCCTGTTGAGCTAAATTACTGTTTTAACAATAAATCATTTGTATAAATAACCTCTCAAAGATGGGACGTTTCATATTTAAATTTATCACAATTAAAAATGGCAGATATTCAGATCCCATCTTTAGTACCACTAATAAAATGAATCGAGTTTGAATTCTGTAAAGAGGATTTCTATTCGTACACTAGTGTATGGAACACAGGTATATATATAACTTAAAATTTTATTTAAAAAAAGTTTTTGGGACTTTAACAAAAAAAAAAAATCTCTGTAAAATTTTAGTATAAATTATAAGTGAATTAATTTTTGTCTTCTTTGTGTTATACGGATTTACAAATTATACTAATGTGTACATACACTAGTGTACATTTGAAAATTTTCTTCAGTAAATGCTTGTTAAGTTTAATAATAACAATCTTGAATTTTACCCATTTTAAAAATATTTGCATATCGTAAAACAATATTATATACGTATTATTTTTTCAATAATGATTATAAAGTATTCGCTTAATAATATAAAATTCTTTGCGCCCTCCAGTCCATCCATTCATTCTTAAAACCATCGTTGATATCCTCGTCAATATCGTCATCAAATTAGTCTATAATATAGCTGCGCAAAGTTGTCATGCAGAACCAGGAACAGGAGACATGAGGGGCATCGGTATTGCATTTAGTGAATATGTATTAGGTTGAGGTGATATGGAAATATTTAGTATATTAAATAAATAAGAACTTATAAGATATAATATAAAAATTTAATAACTATTATGATCACTAGCAAGAGTAGTATACAGAATTCATACATAAAACTTTAGTTTGGGGTTGATTTTATCATAAGTATATCCCAACTATAACTTTAATTCAACTAGGAGAATCTAAATCCAAATAAATTCCATTTCTACTTACAATACGTACCAACTGTTATTAAAATTATAATGTGTTATTACATTATTATACATATCGTTTATTACTGAAATCAAAATTTCAGGATAGTCATTCGGAAAACGGCTGTAAAACTTTTGTAGATGGATAATTATCCAGGACAGCTTAGTAAAACATTAAGATAATGTTAATAATTATATTATTATTAAAAAGTAAAAAATCAATCTGATCCGAATGTTTGGAGAATCTAATTCTTATCCAATAGTTATGGTACACTAATGTGATACACGAATTTTAGGTGCAATTAGAGTATTTACGTAATAAATAGGACATAACTAAGAAGGTATTAACTAAAGGTATACAAAGCAAGAATAAATTTTTACTGATTTTTCGTGGTATTAATAGTAATAAACATATCGAATAAAAATAGATGTAAACTTAATTCTTAACCATATATTTTAAAACGGATATGTGGTTTTAAACAACTAAATTCAGATAATCACAATGGATGAAGATAAATAAGCGAAACCTTACAAAATAAATTTTATATGAAATTTTTTTTCTTTAAAATATTTATTTTCACTCACCATATTTGAGTTTTCTTTGGATTTCATGCTTATTTTTCCATTCCCTGGTCGTATCAACATTCAAAAATTCTTTCAAATGAAGTTCCAAAGATTTTTTATTAAAAAAAAAACCTCAAACAATAATAACATTATGAAATGAAAAAAAATAATAACGAGTTTAATGCCTTCCTTGTGCTCGCAGAGTGTATAATTCTAATAAGGTAGCTGCATGATGCAGTCATGCTAGAAATTGGGAACGAAAGCAAATATAATAGTTAACAGATAGTCCAAGTAACGTACAAATAAGAACTGATCTAGCATCCCATTAATATATTGCGAAACATTTGATAGACACTATAGGAAATCGACTCGCATTAGCTAATCAAACAAAAGTTTACAAGGCATCATATAATAAATTGTCTTTGACGATCAATGATTATCATTTAATCAACCCAATGAAAAATCCTACGAAAAAAAAACAAAAAATGCCAAATATCAGGTAAATACGCAAATTAATTTGCACTGGGTTACCAATTTTTGCGTCTAAAATTCCTTTATTACTATCGTTAATTATCGCAACTGCACATTGCTTACGTTCTCATTTTTTTTTAATTCAAATTATGCTCTGTGATTACATATCCGAATGCACGTGCAAATCCGTTGACCTATAAATTCATGTGTGAAAAATAACCAAAATTTTGATTAATAAGTCATGTGGACCAATCAAACTTAAGATTTTGTGAACATAAACCACTTATTTATCGGACAAATATAGAAATCATGAGATAAAGTCACAAGGATTGAACATCCAATCAGATCCGAGATTTTGTACAGGGCATTTAACTCTCAGGTAAACCATACACTACGTTGTACAAACTCCGTTCCTGGTATATCTTTTTTTAACTGTATGAACCATTTTTTGTTCACGATTCTCACGAACTTTTTTGGCAACTTCCTTTAATCGTTCTGATCTCTTAATACACATTTCTTGTTCACGTCCTAACATTTCATCCCTATCACGTTGCAACTCTTCTTCATCTTCGTACGCAATCTGATTACTAACTTGTGTTTCTTTAGATATCAGCTTTTGAAATAAGATCTACTCCTTCGATCTCATCGGTAGTTTTTTCTTGTTGACTTGACATTGTTTTAGAAGAATTATCAAAAAAATCATCTAGAAGCGTATTGTTTTTGAAGTTTGTCATCAATTGATGGAGGGGGATCCGATTTATTATCGAATTTAATTCTCTTTGTTTGAGTATCTTCCTGATCATCTGACAAATCTTCATACTCAACTACATTTTTTACATTAGCGCTGTCTATATCACTACTACTTATATTTCCTTTCGTTCCTATAGATCTTTTTTTTTGATATTCTCTTGCATTGTTGCTGACTGAAAACTGTAGAACATAAAGGAAATTCGCTTTTATTTGTTGATTGTCAATAATTCTGATTGGCTAAAATTAAAGATTCATATGGGCTGTGAATAGTGATGGAAAAAATGCTCATATTATAATAACATGCGCATGATATCGCATGATAAAGAAAAGGCAAAAAAAAGAAAAAACGATCGAGAGGAGAGAAATCTTGATGGGATAAAATGCACATGAAACCCATCTCTAGCTGAAATGGATTACTGAAAATTTATAATCATTTTTTCTAGTAAAAAAAATTTCTGCTTTGTGTGTATTTATTTTAAAGATTATCTGTAATTTAATCGAAGTTTTAAAAAAAATTTTTATTCAAATTTGTATTAAGTGTAATATCAATTTAGTTATCTCAAATAACGTGTTCTGATTGACTTTAATAATTTGTAAAAAGATCCAAAATTTTTTTATTATATGCACAAACATAACGAGAAGGTATCAAAATTTTATGATTTATATTGATGTTTTTTATTATTTAAAAAAAAACTATTTTAACGGCTAAGAAAAAATTTAACTTTACAATTAGTAAAGTTAAAATTTAAACCAATATAAATTTGCATGCTTAACTGGGATAGATATTTAAATAAAACCGTGTGAAATTGTGGAATCTACGTAAACGAAACTAGATTTTGTGGCAATGATCAAAAATAATTGTCAGCCATACATTAATTGGAGAGTCAATCATTCTTCCGGTATACCTTGCTTATAAGATCGATGAAACTCACATATTATAAAATATAAACATTGAATTTACTTATCAAATTAAATTTTTTTAAAAAAAATAAAAAGAATATTGATTTTTACAATTATATAAATTTCTTTTTTTTTGTTAAAGGTCATACTTGTGGCAATACTTTATTGACTTACATTGAGTTAGCTATTACAACTATTTTTACAGAGATGAGAGTACAGCTAGTCACATGTGCAACTTTTGGTTGCCTATTTAAGTAGTCCACTCTAAGGTTCTATACTAGATGCTGTACCTATAACCTACTAGGAGATTATTCATTTAAACCCTCTGATCATCCACCTTGTTATATTGGAATCTTCAACTTATCTTTTATATATACCTAACTGGTATACTGTCTGAGCAGTATAGTTACCTACCTTTTTTGTACTGGTTCTCAGGTTATTACACATTTCAGAGTACATCACCTGTCAGTAAGACACAGAGGGTTCCTCATTGTTAACTATCTATCTATTTTTAGAACACTAATACAGATTACCCTTATAGAGTTCATCTAGACCTTAGCATTAATTTCACAGCATATCCCTAGTACTTTTAGTATACCTTTGCTTTGAACCCAAACTTCTAATCCAGATAGCCTAGAAGGACTGTAATCTGTCCTTGGTATATTGAGACTGGTTCAATATCCTTTTTCTTCAGTTCGAAATCTGGCAGCTTGATTGGTGATATCTCTTATCTGAGGTTTTTGTCTGCTTGAATTCTTCATATTGGTATCTATTTTCTAGGTCTAGCTTTTACAGTAGTACTGTCAAAGATCTGTATTACCTTTTTGCTCAGAATTTCCAAGTGGGTTCTGGCTTCTTAGTTCTATGAATTTACATAGCCCAAGGATTTATTTTAGGTTTGCACTACCTAGTACCAATTTGTATTCCTCTATATAACAGATTATATAGATGTTCCAGACTTGCTAGTCATGCTAATATGACCATAGTTATAGGTATCATATCCCAACTAATTGACAAAATGCTATTGCTGTAATATCATCTATATATTACATAGGTGATTATCCAAATTTCATTATTGGTAGATTTTGAACTTACAATCTATTACTTGGAGATATGACAACTTATCTACTTCACTAAATTGCCATATTCTGATATTCTAACTTAATTATTAGAAACAGTTGTTATAATATAAATATTACATAGATGATTATCTAAATTTTTATTATTAATAAGATTTAAACACCTAACCTATTATTTGAGAGGTTGACAATTATTTACTTTATTAAGTTACTATATCTCTATAATAGTTCTATATAAGTACATTATTTAATAAATGTTAATAAAATTAAAAGACTAAAGAAATTATCTTAATATCAAAAAAATAAAAAAAATATAATCTTATTATTAATATTAAAAAAAAATTTACTATGTTAATTAACTTCTAATTTCTAAATAAAAAATTTTCAGAAAAATTTATTTATAAAATACAAATTCTAATATTGAATATATAAAGTTTTTAAGATACTATAGCTCATTTTGTAGAATTTTCTTAATATAAGGATACTCCAATCAAGAACATGAAAATTTTTGAAAACAATTTTCAAGAAAAATCAAAATTTTTTATTATTTTTATTCCAAATTATATATAAAAACAAATTATATGAAAATGATATTATTAAGGATTCAGAAAAATATTAATCTATTTAAATTAATATAAAAAAATATTTTTGGATCAAATCATTACTAAATCAATAATTTTATAATTTTTGCAGCTGTGTAATATTACACATCACCAATAACCAGAATTATAAATAATACTGGCCAAAATTTAATAACTAAAAGTATTATAATTATCAGAATATAAAAGGTTAATAGTCTTTTTTTAATTTAAATTCAGAAGCAAACAAAAATTATTCAGTATTATTTTGCTAATCTTTGTTATGTAAACAAGTATTTTATATTTTAAGGTTTTTGGTATTTTATCTTATATTACTTCAGAGATGCTATAAATTAAACTATTGCACATACTTGTATACAAAAATTTCCTTAGTAAAGAATCACTTTATACTCTTATGATTATGTATTATAATCAGGATTCTTAGAAACAGTTTTGTTAAAGCTATTCTAAAAATATAAGATCAATAAATAAAAAAGATATGTGGAAGGCCAAGATTATGACGGTCAGACCCAATGTACAGGGCAGACTTTGGTACCTTGCACAGCAGTTAAAGCCGAGCATACAGTGATCGACCCTGTAGAAGACAATCTTAGAAGATCATTCTCAACATCTTTAAGCCTCTATGATCTTCATACATGTTTCAATAAATTCCTTCTTTATTACAACTTACCATTTCTTCCTCATAGTCAAATGATTCAATTTCTTATACAACATATTAACAAATATAATCATAATAACACTGTCTTTAGTATTACTTTCTTTGTGAGCAATACTTACGATGAAACCCACATATATCTTTCAAATAACTCTCTCTTACCTAATCATACTGTTATCCATCCTTATCTTCTTTCTATCTTTTATAACCTTCTTCTTAAATCAAATCTCTCTAATCTTACTTCCATCTTACCTAATTTATTTCTAAACAGTCACACTATACTACAAGTATCCACATCTACACAAACTTTACGAGACCTTTACTTAAACATTTGTATACACAATGTCAGAGTTTATAATACAGTAACTAAAAGAAAAGCTTGGCAAAATTATTGTCTTCACAATAATATCCATATCTCTTGTATTATTGAAACCAAAATTGCTAACAGTACTAATCTTCAATTTCACAATAACAACTTATTCACCTACTTCTGGGCTAATTCAGAAAGTTCAGCAAAAGGTACTGCCATTATGATTTAAAAACACTTACAACCACATATATACAACTGCCAAACACATCCTGGTAGAGCAATTGCTTTAGATCTATTTTTCAAAAGTGAAATCAAACTTCGAATTATAGCTGTCTACCTTTCTTC